AATACATGCAAGGCTGGAGCTCTAAGCAACATGCTAGGCCATAAAGACGACGACCACTCCACAGACCTGGCAAAGCAAAGAGCTGGAAGGAATGAGGATTTGAATGATTTCACAAAGTCACCATAGCAGCCCTTGGTTACCACCATTAGACTTATTTTCTGTGAGAAAGAAACGAACTTCTACCTCCTTTTAGTAATTACTGTATTGGATGTTTTTAACATTGACAGTCAAATCTAATCCTAACAGATACCTCAAGTGTTTATAGTACGCATGTGTGTATTTTACAATGGGGGATGGTCAGAGTTCTATGGACATGTTTATTTATAAACTATATGTATAAACTATATGTATAAACTATATGTAACACAATGTCACTTTTTAAAAAAATTAAAGTATCAAATGCCCTTTTTTCTGAACTCACATCAGTAAATTTACACTTAAGAAGTTTGCCAGGGTTCTTCTGTTAGATTCCAGCCATATCATTTACTGTTTACAAGTCTGGAAATTCACCAAATGCCTTCCTGATAAAATCCAAAATTCTTAGCATTATCTGGCCCCTGGGTACCTATGTAACCTCCCCTCTCAACGCTGTCCCTTGACCAACCCTACACTCTTCCAGTTCACACCTGCCACCCTCATCACATACACTTTTCCCTCAGGTAATAGCAAACTACTTATCATGTCCCAAAGGGGTCATATTTCTCAATCTCGGTGTTTCTGCACATGGTTAACAGACCTATCCTACCCTGCCCAATCTCTGACATCATCTCTCAAGTTCTTGGTCATTCTTACTGGTCCCTCGGGATTCACATAGCTCAGGCATCACTCCTCCAGGAAGCTTTCAGAAGGGAAGCTTCACATTTACCCCAGGACACTGTCTTTCTCACTAGACTATGCGATCTGACGGAGACAAGCCATGTCTCATGCGTCTGGGTACTCTCATTACCCAGACACTGCCGTAAATGGTGCCCACAGGCCCTCAATAAACACCTCTTGACTAAAGAGATGCATGAGTAAGAGTGAATTTGATTTCTAAAATCAGCGCCTGAATACTGTTGATTATCCTCTTCAACATCCTATTCCTGAGAACAGAACTAGCTTAAAGATTCTCTATGAAGCCTGCACTTATGTGGTTATCAATGTGTACCATAAGGTTCACCTTTAAATAGGTTGACATTTAAGTCAAATATTTCCGTTGGAAATAAAGTTTGCAGAATAGCCTAGAAAATTCTACTTATCTTACAAACATCTTAAACACAGCACCAACAGCGCTGCAGCCCAGCAGTCAGCATTTATGATAGTACTGGCACCAGGCACTCATCTAGGTACTGAGAACATGAGTGGACATCTGTGTTCTGTTTTGCCAGCATCTACTCCCCCTTTTCTGGTAACAGTCCCAGATTTTCTTTGGGGGTCTTCCCTCACTATCTGTCAGAGTAGCTCAGGCAGCCTCAAACTTTCCACCCCCAGTTTCTATGAAAGCATGAAGCACCTGCCCAATACGACTTCCCAGAGTGGTTTCAGGATGAGCACAGAACTCAAGATAATCAGGCACAAGAGGGAATGGCTGGTTTTTCCTTGGGTAACTAGGAAGAGATACTTGATCTTTCTCACTGAGTTTAACCTTGGAAGGATGTAAGTTCAGAGGCTACTTCATGCAACAAGAGAAGAGTGTATATAAAAATACACTCAATCCAGAAGGAACAAGGCTGAGATATATAGGGTTTCTGGTGACATGAATTAAGCCCCATTTTCGAACTCTACCCCAAACCAAGCTTACATTCGGGCTTCACTATTACAGGAGTACTTACAACTTTTATGTAAACCAGTTTGGGTTGAGTTTTCTTACTGAAAATAACAGTTCTAACAGGCACTCAAAAGAACACACTTAAAATATCATTTGTCACTATGAGGAAATGCATTTCACATTCCAACTTGGCAAGCAGAGTAACATGAATGCCAAAAGCTTTGTGAATGAGTAATTAACTATCTACAAAATAGAAGCACTTCTCTTTAAATGTCCTAAATTGAGGCAATAGTGGCAGGAGTCCCAATTTGGGGAGCCAGGGCACCATTATGGGGCTACCCAATTACCTAAGCTTATATACATACTATAAATAAACCGGTATGTAGAAAAACTATCTGTAACCTGTAATCTCCAATGTCTTTTATAAAAGCACATAATATTTTCAGTAGTACAGTCAGTCTTATTGATTCTTACAAAATCCAAGTTCTGAAAGTAAAAACAATTAAAATAGACACTTCAAGTACAGACAATTCAAAAAAAAGAATTTAAAATGATCAGTTAACTATAAAATGATCAGCTAACATACTGAACCTTCCTAATAGTGACAAAAATCCACATTAATCAATTTTGACTATGAGACTAGCACAGATTTTATAAGATGAACACTGTCTAGTATTTAAGTAGCAACACCTCCAGAACTGTAAGATAAAAGTCACCCTCCCATCATATTCCCCATGAAAATATCCAAAATTAGATATATGGCCATTTTCAATATAGATGATGAAAAATGTAGCTGAGATATTTAAATAACCTCATATTACCTAAAGTTAATTCATCAGAGAGGCAGCAGGAAGGCTCTGTGGACCACAGGGTCCTCCAAGGAAGGCAACTCCGTAGAGGCCACACACCTGCTGTGGACAAGCCTGGGGCTAGGGCACTCTGGGTGGAGCCTGCAGCAAAGGCCACAATGGAGAGGAATACAGAGAAACAAGACCAGCGGGCCTGAAAAAGAGAACTAGGGGAAGAGTGGCAGACAATGCTGAAGAGGCAGACAGAAGCCAGACCTCACATGTCTAGTGAGAAGAGGGGACTGTGATCCTAACCTCGAATGGAAGCCAGTTAAGCAAGAAAGTGACATGATCCAGTTTACTGTGCAAAAAGCGCATTCTGTTGCTATGTGGAGATAGGGGTGGAGGCAGGTGGAAGCAGGGGAGAAGTTGGGAAACTGTTTTAATATTTTAAATAAGAGATGGTATAGCTTAGATTCAAGGTGGTGGCAGTGGTAACAGAAATAAATGTGTACAGTACAAATTCTGGTTGCATTGGCTGATAGGAGAGAAAATGTTTTAAGTGTTTAATTAATAAAAAATTCAAATTAAAATTATACAATTGCCCCTATCAAATTAGCAAAAGTTAAAAATGTATAATACAAATTCCAATGACTATGTAGTTGAGAAAATACTCATACTAATAATTTTTGACTTAGTAACTGGTACATAGTCTTTTTTTTGTTGTACAAATTAATTTGACTTTTAGAAAACATACTTAAAGAGAAAATCAGGATTTGTGCTCAAGGATTTAACTGTAGCACATTTACTTGCAAAGAAGACGGGGAATTATCTGATATTCAACACTTCAGGAGTGGCTGAATTATAGCTTAAAGTACTAAGCAACATTTAAAATCACAGTTCACAATATGGGGAAAATGCTGACATTGTACAATCTTATAAAATTAACTAAAGAAGCAAATAGTACCAGAGTTTTCTTTTTTAGTAAGTTATCATGCTTAGTAAAAGCATGATAGTAAGTTATGATATGACAACTGAATATAGAGAACTATAATAATTGCTAATAAAAATAATTGGTAATAAAAATTTGACAATAGTCTAGAATCAAAACTTAATAGATATTCTCAGAAAACGTACAAGCTCAACCCACTACACGTCTTATCGTATCAACCTCGTTACCCTTATACTAAATCAGGAAGCAGGGAAGTTTCAGTTTTGTGGTTGTTATAGTAACTTAAGTATAAACATGCACATTTAAAATCTGTTGCTGTATCTTCAATGCCTACACAGTACCTGGTGCAGAACAGGAGGTTGCTCAATCCATATTTTTTAGTGAATATCACAAAAAAACCCCAAAACAACAAAAAACCTTTTCAGTTCCAACTTGGCACCAAAAAAATTTAAAACGTCAAAATGAATGAGGTAGGTAAAACCAATAGTGATAACAGCAATTTATAATATTTTGAGTGGCTACAATGCACCAAGCATTATTAAACACTTTATGCGGTTTGTCTTCCCTCCTCAAAAGACTCCTTAGCTGAAAGAATTACTCTCCACATTTTAAAACCTGGAAACAGATTAAAAAATATTAAAGAACTAGTCCAAGGTCACGCTGCAACTAAGTTTGAACTCAACTCTTCTCATACCTAAATGTAACCTAGACACGATGTTCCAAGCATTTACAGTGATTGGAAGTGACCAGATTACTTCTTTATGCTTCCCCTACAGTTCTTGGTGTTCACCAACTTCTACCTTTTATTTGTTTTAAGTTTCATTATTATTTATTTGAGTATTTCATGTTTATTTTATTTTGCTTTTGTTTGTGTTTTTCTGATCTAGCCATATGCCTTGTGTATTAATCATAAACATTTTCAGAATACATGATTCGTTCAATTAATGCATTTCCACTTCCCTCCTTCTTTGTTTCATAAATTATTTTATTGTTGTTCAATTATAGTCATCTGCATTTTCTCCCTTTTACCTTTTAGTTAACCCTTTGATAAGCCCTGCTTCACAAGAGAACACCTGCTCGGGACCTCCCCTCCCCCACTGTTACTTTTCCAAGGGGCGGAGACCAACTTGCCAAGACCCTTGGTTACTGTCACACTAGGATTTGGGGATTGGCACTAGGCAGGGGCCTCACCACTCTACTCTGTGGGCTTCATTCTAATTGGCGTTTATAGCCTAGCCTTGCGGATCAGGACTCACAAACTGACAAGATGAGTCCTGTAAGGTGCCGCAACTGCCCTTGGGAACAAGAATCGGGATGGGAAGAAGGGAGTCTTGGCCTGAAGCAGCTGGAAGAGGTGGCCTGCTAACAGTTTCCAGGACAACCGAGTTCCCCCACCCGCCTTCCTCCGTCCCCGCCCCTTGGGCGTCGTGCAGCTCCGCTCCGCCCCTCCCTGAGCCTGAGCTCTGAGAAGTGCTCACGCGGGAATAAAGGGAAGGGCGCTCTGCATTCTCACCTATTAGTGCTTGGTGCATTCCCCCAATGCCGCTGTACAGCTCCAAAACCCGCAACGGTTCCATGCCCACACTGCCGCAGCCACCACCTCCTCGAAACTAGGCCTGCCGGTCCCTCATTTTCTCCTTCCTCCGTCTGCACTGCTCCCAGGCTTCGAGTTCCGCGGCTTTTTAGTTCCGCTCTCTCCAACACCGCAGGGTGAGGGCTTCACTAGGCAGCATTGTGGTTGGGGGCTGGCAGGGGTCAGCTGGAGAACAAAGGGTAGATAACAGAGAGGGCTCCCAAATTAAGAGCAGCTACTCCGTGGCCTCGTTTACACTTCATCATCTTTCTAAGGTGTTTTCATGGGCTTTGGGAGGGAAAATTCTGGAGTTCAATGGAGGGACAACATTTGCCTTTTACTCAAAATAAATTAACAAAGGTTTGAATCTAAAAAACTCACTTTTCAGGCTTGCTGCTTTTCCGAAACTCCCTTGAATGCCTGAATTGTTCCCACATTTCTTCCGTTATGCTTGCACACATAACCAGTTACCCATAACCTGTATCTTGGGTTACAGAGATAAATCAGATCAGCCTCTTCTCCAGGGAAGGTCCCAGAGTGACAAGTGTGGAAATAGCAAGTGTGCAGCAGAGCCCTGCTGCTTGCTGTAATTGTTAGTGGGGTTAATTGTATTTTAGCTTGGGAAATACCCCCAATATAGGATCTGATATCAATATATAATGTAGGACAACTAAGGACCTCCAAATGCTAGGGCCTTGTATCTCCCAGATGGTCCAGTGATGAAATTATTAGAAGCTGTGTTACAAATGAAAAAAAATGGCCATATGCTGGAGAGGAAATGTTCTCATTGTGAAGCGGCCTTCCATTGTTCCCATTACAGCCACAGGTTTTGTTAGAAAAAATTAGGAAGGACCACTTTTAATAAGTTAACCAATTTGTTAGAAACTTTACACATGTGCTAATATAACAACTAAAACGTATGACTACTGTTATCTGAATTGCTGAACATTTTGATGTGTCCAATGATTATTTAAATTATAACTATGTACTGGCCTTTAAATGTTTTGCATTTATTGGTCACTTATTTCATATAAGGAGGGTTGGGTGGTGGAAAGATAGCAGAAAGTTGAGTTCAGCCCTGGCATTGCCAATAACTGGCTGTGTGTGACTTTGTACTGAGCCTGGTTTCCTCATCTGCAAAATAAAGGGGAAGGAAGAAAGGGAAATGATTGCTGAGAGCCATGCAGTTCCAGGTTTCTGTGGCTGTCTTAGTACTTGAAGAGGGTGTCTGGATTTGGCCACATTAATTATCTGCTCAAATTGAAATTATCTAGAAAGTAGATATTTTTAAAATCTGCTTTAAGCAAATGTACTCTTAAAACAACTAAGAAATCACACACTAACATATATAATGCATGAAGCATTTTTCCTAATATTTATTATATAATATCAGTACCACCAATATATATCAGGACATATAAAGGGAGCTCTTTGGTCACCGTGATTTATACACAGCCAGTGATCAACATATTAAATAAATTTAGAATCTGTTTATCATTAGTGCTATGAGTCCAAATAAATTGATTAAGGATCTTACCCTGGAGGGGACAGACAGGACTGAAATATGTGGGAGAGTTATAAAAAATACCAGCTTCCTTAGGATAGGAGGTAGAATCTCATCCCCACACAGGCTGACTACAAGCTATTCATTCTGATAGGTAAGAATCTTCACAACAGGATCCCAGACTTAACTTACATTTTTTAACTTTTCCTTCTGCCCTTAAACTCTCTACAAACCAGACTGTTCAACATTCCCCAAGCATCATTTACTGCTTACATTCGTTACCCTGCTCAGAATTCTTCAAGACCCACACTTCAAGTGGAACCTTCCTTCTGGACTCCCAGGGTAGAACCCCCAGCTTGTTTCACTTCCTTAATCCACATGCCCTGCCCTGCTCCTATCACTAACAGAACCCACCTGCTTCTATCACTAACTCCTTTCAGTTCTCTCTAGCCCGCTTTTGACTTCCTATATGCCACATTCTCTCTTTATGGAGTGTTTCTCCTCTAAAGCCTATCCTGCATGATAATCATTTCAAGAATATAAACTTTCTCCACAACCACAATTTACAACTGTCTCCATGGAAGCATCTGTAGATGTTAGGCCCTTGAATTATGTATGCATTCTCTCCCAATTTTGTGAATTGGGGGGTGGAAAGGGTGCCACAATCAGGACTAGTTGAGGATGACTGTAGGGTGGGCAGATACATTTTAGAAAGAAAAAATACATTGATTACTCTTTCCCAAAGAAAATCCCAAATGTTCTCAAGAGATAAAAAAAAAAAAGTTTCTAATCCTATAGTTTCCCACAAAGTTATCCTCAATGATAAAACTATTTGAACTTACATGCTCATCAGAGAAACACTTTTTGAAAGTACAAATATCAAAATTTGGACTTCAGGATATTCGGTGCAAATAGAGAAAATGCACTTGTAAAAAAAATGCTACTTGTCACCTGGCATATGTGAAGTATATCAGAAATAATTAAGGGGCACAGTACAATTCTAAAGGTTATATTAAAATGATAATAGCATACATTCAATTATTTAAGGGATCATTATATAACTTGAAATTTAATGATATTCTATTCTTCCTCTCCTGCCTGTTTTTTCTCTGATCATTAATATCTAACAAACTTAAACAAATGTCTCCCAAATGCTTGAAATACTTTTCTGCCAACCTCTTTGGGGTTCCATGATCCAGACAATGCTTTATTCCCCTGGGAAATGTAATGTGGATTCCTGTACAGGCTCGCCGACAGGAAGAGCATACCCCACTTATGCCAATTTGAATAATGAATAAATTACATTCTGGTTTTACACACAAAAAAGAATGGTCTATGAATTGCATGAAAAAAAAGTACTCATATGGGAGTAAATTGGCAATAAATGTCCTGAAGAGAGAAGAATTATACTCAGAAGAAAAGAAATTTGAATTGGAAAGGCCTACAGGGCTCATCTACCACTTGTGAGTTCCATTTATTCCAGAATACCTTTTATGGCAGTTCTGATCAGCTGGGGTTAGTCCTTAGCTTGTGAGCTGCTAATGAGATAAGGAGAGGCAGAGTGTACTTCACAGAGGGAGGTGGTGGTGAAGAGCCTGAAGTATTAGAAACCCTTTCTTTTTTTTATAGTCACCTAAAATCTAGTTCCTTTAAGTTTTGCCCTCTGCACTGATTTTAAAGAACTCTCTGTTCTGTAATGAACTGTGGCTAAACTGCAAGCTTCAGAACCAAAGAGTATAAATAGGAATCACAGATCTGTCGCTGACTAACTTTTTGACTTTGGGAAAGTCATTTAACCTCTCAAAGCCTAGCAAATGTCTAAAATGTGTAAAAATAGAATGTGCGGTTGCTATGAGGATTAAATGACAATTGAAAGCATTTAGCCCTGAGCCTAGCACAATATACATGTATGTTTTATCAATGGTAGACACTATTCTACAATCACATTCTCTAAGTGATGCCTTCTCAGTCCCTTCACTTGCGTCATGTGCCATGACTCTGATCCCTGGGGTCAATCACATTGCAGTTTGGTGATGCCCATTTTAGGAGCCATAACTGAATACTGGGTCCTCAACAAGGTCAGACCAGCATGCTACGGGGTGGTCCAGCTGGCCACAGACTTCAAAGACCCTAGGTGAGCTTGTGGGAGGAGAAGCAAGGTCTTGGACCAGAGTGAAGGAAAGGCTGGAAGTCTGGAAACCATAGGCATGACTGAAGGGGGTGCTGAGCTTATACGCATGGGAAGTGAGAAGACAGCAGCACACCCAGTAAGAGAGATATTGGGTGTCTCTAGCTCTTAACCCCTGGGAAGAGTAGGAGAACTGCGAATGGGTTTACACAGGGGCGTCAAACTCATTCTCACCAGGGGCCACATCAGCCTCCTGGTTGTTTTCCAGGGCTGAATATAATTTTAGGACTGTATAGATGTAACTACTCTGTGACAGTTAAGCGAGAGCTTGGCATTGCCACCAGGAAGAAACAAGGTGGAGGGCTGGATTCAGCCTGCGGACCTTGTGTTTGCCACCTGTGGGTTTACAGGTCTATGGGTCTGGAAATCTTAGGGCAAAATTGTTCAAGTCGCCTGAAAAGCAGGGTATATGAGTTGGGGAGATCTGGGGTGGGAGTGAGAGAGAACCTATTCATATCATCCAATCATTTATTGACTTTTTTATGTGCCAGGCACTAAAGAAATTTTTCACTGAAACTTTAAAAATGTAAAAATCTGTACTCATTTTGATCATAACGGAGCCAATAATTAAGAAAAACTAATACCATTTACTCCTGAAGCATAGCATTATTTTAAAAATTTCAAAAATAAGAACAAAACTTCATTGATTCTCTACAGCTACATTGTGCAATAGGGTAGCCACTAGTCATATTTGGTGATTTGAGTCCAACTTGCTTCCAAAATTTAGCTCATCAGGCACACTAGGCACCTTTCGAGTGTTCAGTGAGCACCTGTGGCTGGTGGCTATTGCACTACTCAGCAAAGATAGAGAATGTTTCCATCTCCACAGGAAGTTCTGTGGGACAGAACTGCTAGAGTGGCAGTCTCTTGAAGTTACAGCCTTTCTGGGTAGCCCATCATATGAACAGTGTTGAAATGTGCAGCAATTGCTTACTTATTGCGTACTGAACCCTTCTTTAAAATAAATGTCCCAAAAATATGGAATGAAAGGAACTCAAAAAAGCAGACCTTCTGATCAAACATTTGTCTTCTTTCTTTGGTGTCCAGTCGCCTTACTCCTAGACTGTCAAAAATGAAAAGAAACAGGAAACAGCAGACATGTTCTCTCAGTGGCATGATAAACTTCCAAGAGAAAAAGAACAGATGGCAAATGATGAACCTCGTGATGCCTCAAAGAAGTGCTACTTTTCTGTTGAGAAGCAGATTCTAGTGACTTTTGGTTGTGAATACTATCTTACACTTACCTCTAAAGAAGAAAAATAAATCAATGTTTTCCAAAACTAGAATCAAGAAGAATATATTTATAGATATTTTGCCAAAAAAGCGTAGATACCATGAAATTTGTCTCATA